TCTAATCAATAATATTTATTTATTCATTTTTATTATTTATTTAATTATTATATACTTTTTTGATAATTTGATTATAGTCTTTATTTGATTATTTATATATGGTATTTTATTATTTATTTATTTATTATTAATTATTGTTTATTAACAATTAAACCAATAAATAAGTAGCCAATGGTGGGCTTAAAAGGTCTATCGAGTTGAACAATAGCTCAAAGCATTCAGATGCCTTCTCCCACGCCTTGTCTGTAGAAACTTGTTTTATACAAGTAATTACACTTTTTTCGAGCGATCAAATTATTCATTTCCTAACATTTCTTTGCAAACAATAATAAACCTTTAAACCAATCTGGCTACAAATATTTCAGTAATCATGCTACAAACAACTGGCAAATAAACACACTTCTTAATTTTGATGATTTAAAGAGGATTAAACCATAATAGTTTGGTATAAATGATCCTTAATATCCTTCAATATCCTTCTTTTGAATTTTCTATCATAACTATATACAAATAAAACAAATAGTAAGTAATACAAAACATTTTTGTAAACTTTGTCCATTTTACTTGACCATAATAATTAATTAACATGATTACTGGAAACTAACGTGATCGAAAGCTGTTATTAAAGAAACTTTAATTAACCCATCTCGTATCAAAACATAACTAAACAGTATAAATACTACAGATTGTATACAACGGTTGAAAACCAAAGCGGTACAACCTTAATCCACACAACATGTGGAATTATTGCTGTAGTATCAGGAACCCTAAGGATAATAGTAGCCAACAATTATTTACGAAATTAGGTAGGCCTAGGCCTATTATTTTGCTTATAAAATATCCTAGCTATAAAATACGACACTGCTACCTGTGAGAAATTCTTTTTACACAATGTCTCTGGAGACATATATGCGAAGTGGCCAACATGTTCCCAGTAACACTTTCCCCATCCCTCTTCACGTTAATGTCCATATTTGTGATATTTATGATACATTGTAAAGGTCTTTTGGACCTCACTTAGTTTTATTTGTTTTTATACTTAAAAACCTTTTTTAACCAATAATTTTAACATTATGTTTTAGATTGTTCATGGATAGAATGGTGTATCTACGTAGGTAAACTAAAAATAAAATGATTTACTTTTATTATATTCTGTTATAAATAGAATAGGTAAAGTCTTTTTCACTTAATACTTTACAAACTGGTTTATGAATTTGTGTAATAAATTCTGCCATTTGCGAATAATTCGCCTCACTTTTCTGCCTAAAAGCGCTACACGAAAATGCTTTTAGTTGGAAATTTCACATATTCCTACATAATTCTTTTAACTCAAACAAGTCGTATTCAAATGATAGTAAACGTTTGGCTACACAATCCAAATAAACACTATAACTATAAAAAAGGTAAACAAATATTTTACTGTTCCGTTTACCTCATTATTTTGTTTACTTTCTATTATTTTAGCGTGTAAATGTTTGTGTTACCGAAGGTTATAAATTATTATGTTGTTTTATGGGTTCAAAGCAACATTAATATTCATATAATATTATACGTATTGTATTAATCTTTTGTGACCTATGTAAACGAAGTGGTAGTTCTTTTTAAGGTTACAATTTCATTTTAAATTGTTTTAAGTTGTTATTTGAGTAAGTTGTGTTATTAAACTTCATCAGTCAAATAAAATTAACGAGAAAATTAAATAAACATTATTTATTAATCCAAGCAAGGTTAAAACTGCACCTAATCTGGAATACAAAATGGTGTAGAACATATTTGCATCTTAAATTGAAAAGTAGTAAATTAAGTATGCTGACAATGGACTTAATGGAAAACTAAGTACATACAGAAACTCATCATATTTTTCAGAAAACTCTAAGGCGCTAATATCTACTGGAACGAATAAACCACAGCCATAAGATCTTGAAACTGATTTAGTCTTTGATTATAATAGTACCAGTAAAGAAATAGGGCATTGCAATTATCAATTATAAATCAATCAATTCTATAAATTATTTAAGATGGGGACGCAACTGTGTGCGTATTTTAACCCATGTATGAGTGAAGGATGAGTGGCATGATCTTGTAGTCTTGTTAGTGACTAAGGCCGACATGTTCCTTAGAAACAGCTGTAATTAATAGCCCATACAGCCAGTGGCAACTAAGGGCCCAACAGTTTATAGTGGAATATGAACCAAATTTTTGCCTTTGGTATATACGAATTGGTCTAATTATCAGGGTATTACTGCGATAGTCGTAGTACTCACTAGTGCGGACGTTAATCCACGCCATGGAGCATCGCATCCACTATGCATCTCTATAAATATCCACAATTTATGATCTCCTAGTAGCTGGATTACAGGATGACACCACCGTCCTAGTCAGTTAGTACGTAATTACAAGAGTCTGGCATTATTAAGTAACAAACCTTTTAACAATATAAGACCGTAAGTCTGTTCAACATATTCAAAAGAAAAAAAAAACTCTGATTAAATTGTGCTACTATTAATTGCTAGATAGCTGATGAAAATGTATGCAGTTTAATATTTTTTTGGTGATGTATAGATTATAATATACAATAAAATCTTTTTGACGTTCTTTTCTCTGTATACGCAGCATTAAATCCCTATTAAGAAGAATATTAAGAAGAATGTTATAGGAATAAATGTAGACTAAAGCCTTTATTTTTTGGGGAAAAAGATGGAAAATGTAATAAAATATTGTATTGTTTTAAATAAAACCCAATAACAATGTTTTTAAATAATTAAATTACCTTTAACTTTTTTATATTAAGATAACTAGAATTAAAAAAGCTTACATTAGGATGAAAATTCTTATATATTATTGGGTAAATAATACATTTGCATGCAAATCTCAAATCAATTTGCCTTTATTTTGTTTGAAACATCTTGAAACGAAAAGTAGCCTTTTGAGGTAATTTATCACGGACTCAGTTTGTTACAAACGAAGTCAGAGTTTCTCAGAGATACCCTTTGTTCTTATAAAGATGTCAACCTTTGAATGTGTCAAAGATAATTTAGTCAAGCTTTTCATTTTGCAAACTAAACAAAATATTTCATTTCTTTTATTAAATTCCGTTTGTAAAGTTTTTTATTTTTAATTGTGAATTATAAAAATAGTTTATGAGATCATAGAATTGTATAACGTATTTAATGAAGGGTTTGAACGATTTTTATTAGTACGAGTGTATATTTGTACGTTCGTTAAAATGAACGTAATTTTGAAATAAATCTTTTGTTTATATTACTAAATGGAAATATTTTTATTTTGATTTTTGGATTTCCAACTAGTTGTGAGAAGCAACAAAAAGACAATGTTCAAAAAAGTGTTAACCCTTACCATCTAAACGATTTTTCATTTCAGAAAACATTTATAAAACAACCAACCCGAGCTTATTATTTCTAAAGGTAAAAATATAAACCAAATATTGAATGGTTAAAGATTAAAGAGTACGATGTTTAAGAGATTAGTATAAAATGTGTTCAACTTTATAAACAATTAAATGGAGATTCCTTTTTAAAGTAAACAACAACAAAATAAAAGGCTAAACCATCAACATATGAGTACATTTTTTAATTTACAATGTTTAAATATTTTGTTTGAAACAAGTGTTTCGCAACTGACACATTAGTAAGATAATACTTTACCTATTAGTACAATAAGTTCTATTCCGAAAAAATCTTTAAAAAAAATGTGTTTGACCTCTAACTCGTTCTAATGTACAAATATCTCAGTAGTTAGCCTAGCTTCTTTGTTTTAAAATCTAATTAACACGAAACAATTCAAATTCAATATATTTTTTTCGTTGTTTACTGTAAGTGAAACTATGGGTTTCCTACAGCAACTATTCAATAGTATAAACTTTAAATTTGACATGATCCTAATAAACAAAGAACCACCAACGAGAAATGTAATATTCTGACAAAAGTTGGAACGTGACGGTTTCAAATTTCATGGCAGCAAACAAGCTTTTGTAATTGGAAATATGAGGATGACGAGAGAACTTTCATTGTTAACTTTATTGCTAACTTCTTTCAATTAATGTGTCAAAGAAGACGTTACATATTAAATTCCCCAACCGTGTCTGGCATGATATGAGGTGGTCTTTTTCCCTCAGTCGGTTGCTTTCGAGTTTTTATACGATATTGGGAAAGAGAAATCAAGATATTGTTGAAATTGAGTAATTCTAAAGGATTTTATTGCAAGTTTTTCCTGATTGCTAATGCAGTAACATATATAATAATGAGTTATATTAAACAACTGTGCAGTTATCACAAGTAAAAGTTTTTACTAAAACAATTTGTGTATATTGTATACTATATTAATTATATATATATATATATATATATCAAAGGTGTCTTTTAAAGTACCTATTTTATATTAATTTTGTTTCAAAAGCAGCAAATAGTATTGTATCGGTGAATTTTAACGTATTGCAAAGTTTTGCTTTGAAAATATCTTAAAGTTTTCACAATTAAATGAAAAAAATAGCACCATAAGCATTTTAAAGAGAGTGTAATGTGTAAACAATATTTTATTTAATCAAAAAGCGTTCACTTCTCCAAATCTTTAGGTGTCTAGTTAGCTCCAAAAAATCCCAAAGCTAAGGGCACCAACAAATATATGAAAAGGATTTAAGTCTCAACTATTGTATAACCCTTTAGCCTAACACATTTAAGTAATATTTAACCTTGACAAAGGTTTTTTATGAATACCAACGACAGAACGTCTATTTTATCCAACAAAGAACAATTTCGAAAAGTCCCCATCAAACTACAGTCATAACATCTTAAAACACATTCAACCACGAAAATGCATGCGATATTCATTCCCTATCCCAATCCAAACCAGATAGCTTTGTAGTGAATGGTTCGCAGGCAGTTTGGCGCCAAAGATGGGGTGGCTAGCGTTATTGGCGGGAGAGGTTTGGGGTGGTCTAAATACGTCAGGACGCCTCCAGAACGCTCAGTGTGTCGCGAGTTTTCGTGCGTGATACTGTGACTTCCTGCGACATCTTAAACCACCCCTGGCAAAGTATGGACTGATAAGTTTTCATTATATGTTTAAAATACTTTTAATATAAATAGTACGCAAACTGTATCTGGATAGCTTTTACCTACGACCGTTTTTAAACTATCCTTTTAAGTTCTTAGAATTGAAAAGATTCAATTTACAGTTTTCTTTACCTGAGAAAATTATTAAAATTGTTTTGTTTCAAAAATAAACTTATCAGCTGTTAAGGCCAATGTAATTTATTATAAAATGAGTGAATGGGTGGGAAAACAAGTTGTTGCTTCAAATTCAGAGGCAGTTAGAGGATATAAACGAAAACTACCTGTTTTAGATGTTGTGAGTAGTGATTTTTAGCAAATTAAAAACTGTCGTAGGTAAAACAGTGTACGCAACTGACGTGATAACCCTTAAAGACATCCGTAGAATTCTTAAAGGGATTCACCAAGGCTCGTACCCTAAATTTTTTACTCGTGTCTTAACCGAAACTACTATATTAGGTTAGGTCAAGTAATGGATTACACAAAAATTAAACTTGTTGCGATACAATTTGTTTACTATTTTTAAAATATATTTTACTAGCAATGAAACATACGATTAAGATTACTATTGAATTAGACATTTGAAGTAGAGATTCTAAATTAACCAAGTTAAATGTGTATGGTTATTTTTATGAATTCATAATATTTTAATTCAGGTTTTTTTAATGAAAGAACACTATAGGCTTATAATTTACTACAGGTGTCATGAAGATTGGGGTTCTCTGTAAAAAAAAAAACAACCTAATACAATCGTTTAGGGTTCAAACGAAGCCCTTTTAGGATTCACTCTTTCGTGTAATTGAAAATGGTTTGGAACTTACGTCATCGTGGAACCTGAACAAGACAAATACATTTGTGTTATATTTGGAATTGATCATAACACACAAACTTGGGACTTGTATTAATTAAATTGTAGACAAACATCAAAAGTTAAGAACAGTATTTTTGTTTACAGTTAGATGTAAACAAATACTGTAAATACAGGGTAGCTGATTTGCATAAAAACAAGTATAATTATACAAAAACATTTCGAATAACAGGAGGCAAACCATAGTAAAAAAAAACTGAAAATGTTATAGTTTACAAATTCATTACTCTGAATTCGCAACAACACTTTAAAAACACAAAACGCTACACCAGTATGTAGGTATTCAAATATAAGCCACAGAACTTATAACAATTTGACAAAATCACTTAGTTTAATTAAGTGAATGAAAATTCAATTAATGAAATTGAAAAGTTAATGTAAATGAATGTGAAATTATGTTCATTATAATATGCATAAGGTTGGAAATTTTAACGTACATGCTATATGAAAACACACGTTATATTTAATACAAATGTATGTATAATACATATTTTCTTTATATCGATTTATTTACCGTGAAGATTCCGATAATAGTTATTTATATTATTGATAAAAAGTGCATTACATACATTAAACAAGTATAAAATTAAGTTATAAGTATGAAATGAATAATTAGACAATAAATAATCATTTTAGTAATATAATACAATTTACAGATGAGAAGGAAATGGGAAAAAAATGGTGGATCGTTATTAAGACAAAGACAACACACATTTTATATTGTTTACATTGTTCTTAAATAACTTCTAGCAACAATGAAATCTGACTTCAATGCAAATTTATTATTTGAGCGAATCAAATTTGTCTCGCTTGGGTAATATTTATTTAATTCATCCTATGATTAATTTCTCCAACTGATTTAACTTTAAGCGTTCTAACAAGTTATATAAATATGTGTATAGATATATTAAATAATTACTGTCTTTGCGATCTAGATGGATTATTAGAGTAAGTATCTAATAATATATTTATGTGCAATCTAACAAACTAAAAAACATGGGTTGGTTGCATGAGGATCCTTTGAAAACAAATGAAAATAATTATCTGTAAAGGTAATTTTAACACGCTCACCAAAACATTTTTAAGAATATATTATTCTAAAAATGTTAAACATACAATACATAAAATAATTAACTGTTGAAACAATATGCAATTTAATCTAGTATAACAAGAGTTTGAATGCAATGTTAGTTCCCTTTGCTACAATGTAAACACATAAACATAACCAATGGTCAAAGACAATGTGTTATGACGAGTAATATACATAGATAATTATATAACGTACAGTGTTTCACAATGTTAGTTTGAATTGTACATGTTATGCAAAGCAAAGTTGTACAGCAAACACAAATGTAATTATGTTGTCAACATTGAGGGTGTATGAAGATACAATTATTATAACACATGTTCAATGCTTTTAATGGTTACAAAATAATTAATCATGGTAGAAGGAAAATACATTGGTGTGCTATTCCTATCATATGCTGACGTCACTCAGATTGCAAACATGATTTTACCATTTAGAAAAATTATAAAATCAATAACAATCAAATCAAAACAAATATATACTTTTTGGCAATACATCAGCTGATTTTTTGGTTGCAATCTGGGTGACGTAAGCAAATGATGGGAATAGCACACCTATGTATTTTTCCTTCCGCCATGATAATTAATAGTATTTGTGTTGGTCTACTTGATTTAAAGCTATTACATCTGTATAAGACTTATTGTGTAATATATACTTTGTTGATAACGTATCCAGCAAACCAAAGGGTAAAACGGTATAGTAGAAGAGTTAAAATGCACCAAAAAAAGTACCCAATGACGGTACCCCCGCCACTGGAGGTACCCACTGTTACTTTGGGTGACGTAGCTCAGGGATAAATCCAAGCACTCGCTTACAAAACCCACCTTTATTACAACCAAAACCAAAAAAAGGACATAAAGATGAGTAACAAACGAAAATATTAAGCTAGAAATGTATCAATCATTTAGTTAGAAACTAGAACACCAATTTTGAAAACACTTAACAATGTGTTACCTAGACCCAAGGCCAACCTTGGGCTCCAGCTCCCCCAACAGGACCCTGTCCTCCGGTCCACCACACTATACACAACACTGCCCCCCCAAGTGCACTCACCTATCTAAAACCACCGCCTTTAGTAGGTCATCACAACATGTTATTGTTTAGCAACCCTACCAGCCTACTCACACAACATTACCAAACACTTCCTATTCACAATATTTGACCCTTTCCATAACACAGGTACAGGAGTATGAATCTACAACACCGCTTGGTCCCCTATCGTCGTGTATACGTTTCTTATTAGATTTTACACAGATATTTGACGTGATGAGAAGGTTTAAGTTTTATTGAAGTATTGACTTGTTGAAAATAATGACAATAGCTGCACTTTTTCATGACATAAGGTGTTGGTACATCTATAAAGAATAGACTAATTTCAGCTAATTTCCCAAAAATCCATACGAACTCACTTTTTTATTATAAACAGCAAAAAATGGTGCCAAATAGCTGAAAAAATACTATGCTTGGTGTACATCTCCTTGTAAATCAAAAATGATAACTCACTGTGATATTTCAACGTCGGATGTATGACATTATACCTTCATAACCAAGGGTGCATTATTAAAATGTATAACAACACAATATGATTTAACACATATATTTCTTCTAATAACAATTTTCTAATTTTGTTAAAGTTTGATCTCAACCATTTCCCTTAATAAAAAAAAAATTGTTTGAGCACTTTAGGTGAAAAACGAAACATCGTAATTTAGCCTGACATTACAGAAAGTGCTACGTCCAATATTATTACTCTCACCACACCCTTATGCCACTTTTAAACTGCAGAGTATTATATTACTGGGTTTCAATACATTAAAATATATTCTGAATCTTTTGAAAACCTCCATCTATGCGTAAAACATTTAACTAAGCCATTGACTAAAACTTTACTATAAAAGACTTGTTAAGTTAATTTAAGAGTTTTGTGAATCTGTGGTCTGGTTTCTCCTAATAAATTAAATTATTAGCCCGGTTAACATTTAACATTTGTTTTTTAATTATAAGGTTTGTTTTCTTGAATGATAGTCACTGATTCTATTCCAAACAAGATTGTCTCTAGATCCAGATGCCATTTGTCAAAGGGAATAAATGACGCTATTTAACATAAGATCGACTTTAGACAGTCAAAACACTCCGATTAGTATCATTCCTTTATGTGACTCAATTTCAATGGTGTGTGGACTCAAATAAATAAAATGTAAATATGGTAAGGACCAAAGGATGGTATTAAACATTCATTCTTTTTCATGTACTAATCATATAGTAGTTTTGTTATCTTTTGAAAAAAAAAAATTGAGAAAACATTTGAAAGCTACGTACACATCCTCTACCTGAATTTCATGAAAGTTACAGAAAATATTCAGATCGGAAATATAAAAATATTGAACTTGAACATAGTTTTATTTCTACTTTCTTAGTTGGGAAATTCTATACCTTCATTAAGTGTTTTTTTCTTTTTATGTAAACAGGTTTCCGTAACGAATATGATATGAATACGATACAATATATGAACCAATATATACAATATATGTATATTGTATATTATATGTATTGTGTATGTACTAGTATTGTATGTATTATATGTTGTATATGTATATTGTATATATACAATATACAACATATGATATGATACGAATATGGTATGATAATATTTTTTTTAATTTCATTTATACACTTATTCGTTACTTTATACAAGTATAAATAATGTGCAAGAATGTAACTCACGTGAACCTATACGTTATATCAATATTGAGCTAAATTCGAATGTGGGAAGCAATAAATTGTACTTTACCTGGTTAACTTCGTGAGTCCATATTACACGATAACTTCGCAATATACACCTGTGCTCATATGAGGGCATAACGGTTTTAGTGTATCATGTTCAAATTTTGCTTACGTTATGAAACAAAGTGTAGATTGTGAAAGTTACCCTATTGATAGCTTTAAGTTCCCAATTTTACAATCAACATTATCAATCATTTTCATAATCACAAACAACTTCGAGTGGGAAGTTAATTATATTTATATT